ACTCCACCCCCCCACACCCCTGATAGTCAGTTTTACTTTCTGTCTGTCCTTATATCACCATTGTTCTGGACTGCTCTGACCCCTTCTTTGTCTTTAATTGGATCACAGTTATGTCCAGGATTATGATATCAGAATTTATCACTCCAGGGCACAGACAGCTCTGCTTAACTAAAACCATCTTAGATCTTACTAAATTCCCCACCTTCTGGGATAGTAAAAACTCAGGCATAATTACCGGTAAAGGTACCTGCCTGGAGGATTTCATGGTAACCAACTTCCTCCACTGCAAAATGCAACAGAAGCTCTGTCCACTCTTTAATCATCTTCAGCCCTTCCTGATCCTCAGAGTTCGCACTGTCCCAGCAACCATCCCCAAACTCCTGGACCAGCAGTCTGACATTCTGGGCGAGTTTGGGATCTCTAAGCTACTATCTCCAGGTCTCCGATACCTATCCTTTCTCCATCTTTTATAGCCCCCTCACCTCTGTCTTCTTCCCTCTCTTCCTTCCTCACTTGCAAGCTCTCTTTCTCAGCAGCATACCCTGGACACATCCCTCCTCCCCACTGCTGTTCTCAAAGTCCTCCTTCTCTCCTCTCCACCTCTGGGATCCTTAGCATCCCTTATTCAAAGAGCTCAGAACATTTACAAAAGCCTTTGACTTCAAGAAGCTTCTGGTTTTTTGCCCTGAAAACATCCTGAGGCAAGGACAGGCAGAGGGCCAGTCTGCCCGTTGATGTCGAGCAAATCGCAAAACAATCACTTAGAACATTACTCTGCTATATTTATGGAGTTTTATGCTTTCCCCCTGACTGGACTAGACACAGCTGTGGAGCCAGTGTTAGTTCCTGTCTCAAACATCTCTGTGGAATAGCTTTTCAGCAAACACAATGGACAACAAGAACTGAGGTAAGCCAGAAGTTTTCATCTTCTCTCTTTTTGATGAATACACAGAAGCATAAAAGACCCAGTGTTGAAGACAGGTAGGGGATGTGGAAATATAATTCTATTACTAATAACATTTATTTTATTGTTAAGAGTTTTCTGGCTTAAATAGTACACACAATTCAAGATTTGAGAATAGAAGAAAAGTACATTTAATTTCAAAATTAGGGTTTATTGGTTGGTAAAGAAGGAAAAGCACCCCCTTCTCGCGCTACAGGACAGCCTGCCCTTAGTGCTATGGTAGCCTGGGATTAGTTTACTCCAGCATGGTACTGGTTCATGAAGATTCCTTACTCAAAATGCTTAGGTTCAGAAATGTTTTACATTTCAAAATTCTTAAACTTTTGGATATTTATGCAATATGACCTGAAAACTCAGAGATTTGAAATATACATTCATTCACTGAAGTGTTGGAGGTTGGACATAGGGCTTGGGGATATTAGATAAGTGTTCTACCACAGGGGTGGGGTGCATCCCCTAATCTTTGTTGCCTGGAGTAGGAGATTGCAGGTAGGTGTGTGTGTGTGTGTGTGTGTGTGTGTGTGTGTGTGTGTTTCTTTGTTTGGAAATTTTGCCTATTTGGTTTACTGTCTTTGAAACATGTTCTAGTTCGAGTCTGTTATTATGATAAAGCACTCTGACCAAAGCAAATTGGGAAGGAAAAGTTTGTTTCATCTTATACCTCCAAATCATAAGTCATCCCTGAGGAAAGTCATGGCAGGACCTAAGCAGGAACTAAAGCAGAAGCCATGAAGGAGCATGCATTACTGGCTTGTTCTCTGGCTCATGCTCAGTTATACAGCCCAGGCCAACCTGCCTAGGGATTGTGTCACCCACAGTGGCCTAGTGTCTCCCACATCAACCATCAATTAAGGAAATCTCTCACAAACATAGTCCCTGATCTGATCAAGGCAATTCTTCAGTTGAGGTTCCTTCTTCCCAATTAACTCTTTGTTGGTGTTGACAGTATAAAACCAACCATCTCAAGACAGAATCTCCCTGTATAGTCTAGGCTGGCCTAGAACTTGTGATCCACCAGCCTCAGCATTCCCAGTGCTGGGATTTATTTATGTGTGTATGTCTAGCCAAATTAGTAACCTTTTAGAAGTGATAACATGATGCTCAGAAAGTTTCAGGTTTCATAGCATCTTGGGGTTGGGGGTTTCAGTGGTCTGACCTAGGCGTGGGAGCTGTACCTACAGGCTCAACCAATGCTCTGCCAGTGGGGCTAGACTCTGGGAAAGAGGGGAGAAAATCAATAAGTGAATGACTTCAGATCCACGTTGGGAACAAACCCCAGAACTCCAAGGGCCTCAGGTGACCTCCAAGCCAATGGGGAACAGCATGTGTTCTGTCCTAGTGGGGAGGCTGGGCAGCAACGGCTGCCTGGGGTTCTTAGCCAATTCTGATCAAGAGAGCCTCATCATGCTGGGTCTAGGCAGAGAATAACCTCCTGCAGTGGGCACAGCATCCAGACAGTTCTCTGGAGCTGGCCATCTGCAGTGGCCAACCCCATTAACTGACCCTCTATCCATCCTCTCCCATTCACTTCAAAGGACACCCCATGAGGGAGAGAGACAAAAGGCTGTCAAGGGGAGTTGGAGGGAGGGAGGGAACTGGCTGAATAATTAGCCCCACAACTTTCAAAGTAGTCTGTAATCATTAATTAATCCACCCACCTGCGGTCCACAGGCAGATGGGCGCTCATCTCCCTCCTCGAGCCGCCTCTTGCTAACTGGAGCCTGGGGGCTGTGTGAATGTGTACGGGGACCGCAGCGCCACCTGAGAGCCAAGGGACAGAGACCACAGGCTTTGGCTTTGAGATCTGCTGAGGATGAAAATCTGCGGTTAACCTGGGTGAGGTGGCAGACAGGAATCCAGAGGCTTTGAAGACAGACTCCACTCCGTGGCTGTGGGAGTGGGGTGGAGGGTGGGAGTTTATTTCTAAAACACTGGAAAGGTGACAGCTCTGGACCTGCAAAGCCGTTGTGTGGCTGTGTCTGGATATCTGGCTGTCCTGAGCATCCCTAAAGGAAGAGAATCCTCCCTCCTCCCAGACTAGGAGGACTCCCACTGGGCAGGTGGAGAGGCAGCTGATCCCACCTGCAGCAGAACAAGGTGTCTAAGGCAGGGAACATGCCTCCACTGCAAGGCTTCCCAGACCAGCTACATGCATGGCCTTTGCTAGAAAGCTCAGCCCACAGGAACTTGACTGGCCAGCAGACTGGAGTTGGGAATGCTGCAAAGAATCCTGGGGACTGACTGAGCCATGTCACGCAGCCTGACCACCGCTCTACCACTGAGCTTCATGCTCAGCCCTCGTTTTACTTCTTATTCAGAGCAGGGTACGGAGAGTCACACCTGTAATTCCAGCACTAGAGACCCTGATGCAAATTGATTACTATAAGCTCAAGGCTAGCCTGGCCTACTTACCAAGTTCAACACAACAAAAATAAAAATATAAAACAGGGTCTTAGTAGGTTACTCAGGATAGTTATGCATTTGTGATCTTTCTTCATCCAGACTTCCAAGTAGCTGATATCACCGCCTCTACTGCCACGTCCAGCTGTTTCCTGGATCTTAAATCTTTCAGTCACGTCCAACCTGCGATTCAAAGGCTCCCAAGCACCCCAGGACAGCTATGAATACAGTGTAACTCCAAGGTATATGCTTACTTGAAATAGTATGAGGCTGTTTTTCTTGGCAACTTGATTGGGTAGCTCTCTGAGCATGAATTTTTGTCACAGTGTCAGAAGGGTTAGACAAGCCAGGGGAGAGGATCTTTCACTTCCTGATAGGCAGACTATAATATATTGTACTATGTAATATATAATATATATAATAATAAAATCAGGCTGCATCTTAAGAATCTGTCCTCACAGGTGAGTTCACACTTCCCAGGTCTGCATTTCTAGCAAGCCTCAGGAGAAACCTGTCGCCTGAGCGATAAGCCAACCAAATCTCACTGTGAACTCAGTGATACTCATCCCAGAAAACTCATGGGAATACCTGTCCCTGAAGCATGTGGATCCCAAAGACAATGTCTTAAAACAGTTTGGACCAGAAGAGAGGAGTCATGCTAGCAAAATGAACCAGAGATGGACGACACGTGGGGGCAGGGAGGGTGTGAAATGGATGATGCTGATGGCACCTACTGCTACCAAATGCTCACTGCAAGCCAGCTGCACTTTTACCCATTGCATAGGGAGCTGTTCCTTCGCTCATCTGTACCCAGGAGGGGGCTGCTCATGCCATGCCCATTTTTCAGAAGTAAGAACTGAGCATGCAGCTGACTCCAAGGATCATGTGAGTGGAAGAGATGATTTTCAACCTCTGAAAAAAAAAAATCTGTTCCCAAGATAAGATCATGCCGAGGCAGCTGGCAAGCTGGCAGCCCTGCCTGGCTGAACCCCTTCTGCAAGGGGGCTTTTGATGAAGAGTTGGGTTTTCAGGGGTGCTCTCTGGAGATGGATTCAAAACATGTCTTCCAAAGGCCTCTTTTGGCTCCTGCAACCTTGGCAACAGCTAGACAAACCTCCTGGGCAGTCCCCAGTGGAGCATGTCTGTGGGGTCAGCCTGACTCCAATGGCTCCTTGTTTTCCCCATCTCCAATGGAATGAACTTGCATGCTGGTCTCTATCTCCAAGGGCACTCTCCAGATCCTTTCTGTTCTATTCTGAGTCCCAAACTGAAAAATATCATCTGCAGATTCTACAATAGTCAGACTCATAGATAACGAATATTATGGAGGTTCCTGGGAGTGGGAAGAGAAGTGAGGGGATTTCTACATGTGGATGTATAGTTTCTGCTAGGGACAATGAGGGTTATAGCTGATGGTCACATAGCACTGTGGCTGTATGGACAGCCACTGAATCAAACACTTATAAGAGTTAAAGTGATCAACAGCACCTCATCTCCATATATTTTTACCACCATTTTAAATACATTATGACAGGAACAAACTTGATGATGGTATGTGAAGTTAAGAAGCTGACCGCAGAAGGACTGATTCTGTATGATCCGTGTCCTCACTTGAGGAACAGAACCAACCGAATGATACACATTAAAAGGGGGTTTATTAGATTGGCTTACAGGAAATGGTCTGGGTTGTCCAACAATGGCTGTCTTCATACTGGAGAACTGAGACCCCTGTAGCTGTTCAGTTCGTGAGGCTAGGTACCTGGACCATCACAGTTGGATGCTGAAGGCCTGGAAGATTCCTGGAGAGCTTCTGGTCTTCAGCCTAGGTTTGAAGGCTGGAGAAGAATAACAACAGCAACAACAGGGTAGATGAATCCGACAGCAAGATAGGACAGAGTAGATGAACCTGCAGGTATGACTGGAAGGCAGCCAGGCAAAAAGCAAAAATTTCCCCACCGCTCCCTCTAACCCCTGGACTTCCTTTTTCCTGGCTGTCACCCACACTTGGATGGGACCTCTTTTCACTCCATGTACCCTCATTAAGAAAATCCCTTACCACTGTACCCAGTGGCTTCCCTGTTGGCCAATTCCAGAGCCACAAGGCTATCTGCAAGATGTATCTAGAAGTCTCTTGACCTTCCTAATGCTGCCCTTAAAATACAGTTCCTCATGCTGTGATGACCCTTAAACTCACTGCTACTTCATAACTGTAATTTTGCTACTGATATGAATCATAATGCAAATATGTATGTTTTCCAATGGTTTTAGGTGACCCCTGTGATAGGGTCATTTCCCGACCTGTAGGCTGAGAACTGCTGATCTAGAACATTCATAGGAAACAGAGCTTCAGTTGGATGAACTGGGGGAAGAAGATGGGAAGCCATTGTTTAACAGAGTTCAAGTGCTGAAAGGGAAACTTCTAGGGATGAACAGTGGTGACTGTCGCTGTATATCTGTGTTGTGTAGAGTCTCTCCAATGTACACTTTAAATGCTTAAAATTATAAATACTCTATCGTGTATATTTTGCTGTGATAAACAATCTTTTCTTTACATAAGGACAATATTGGGCAGCGTACCATCTAAGACTTTTCTTTATGTGAGTGTGAGAATTTTTGGTCAGGTACAGTAGTATGTATACACCTGTAACTTGTAACCCCAGCCCTGGGAAGGCTGAGACAGGAGGATAACCATTATAGGCTAAGTAAGTCCCTATCTCAAGCATAACAAAGCAAAAGCAGGCACTTTCCATAGAGTAAAGAGACACTGACCGCTTCCCCCTGCTACCGGGATGAAGACCACCATGGCCTTTTTAATCCCAGAAAATACTGTGGTCACCTTCATAGATGTCGCCCAGCCCTCACACCCCACCAGAGATTTAGTCTATAAGGAAACTGACCAGCTACAGGCTCAGTTATCCTGCAGACTGGACCTTTGGGAATTGCTACTGAAGAGATGTCCCCTTGCTTTCTTGAGCTGGCCTATCCTTGTGACCCTGGTGCAAAAGGCCAGTCCCCAGTAGTCTGTTCCTTCCTCAATCTCAGGAGTCGGTGCAGTGAGGAGAGGCTGCAGCAGGTGTCTGTGATTCTGCCATTGACAGCAACAAGCATCAGCATGAGGCCTGCTCAGGAAATCGCTGATGGCCAGGCATGCAGACCTCCACTGAATGCAGCTGGGAGCCTGCCTAGGCTGATGTCTTCAGGCTGGTCTGTTCTCCCTTCCTGACAAGGGCCTGCATTCCCCTGCCTCCCTGTCTGCAGATTCCTTGGGCTCAGCCTCCAGTGGCAGCTGAGCTTTGGACAGGGTTGGTTTTTATGACTGGAGCTGTCGCCTGGAGAGACATGTTTTAAAATTCATGACCTTTCCCATTAGGGTTCAGAAAACAGATCAGACTCAGAGATGAAAGCTGAGTTGATTCTTTCACGGGTGTCTCCATCCTCCTCCCCAAACCCTGTACCCACCCCTCCTTTTGGTTTCTTCCTCCCCCAGACTTCCTTCTCCATTGTCCTCTCTGATCTTTTGCATTTAGCCCTGTTTTTAATCCCAAGGCCAAATGAAAATTGCCCTGTCTCTAAACAGAGGCCTCAATGAAGCCTGACTCTCAAAGGTATCTCCCTTGGTCAGGTAGGGAGAGGCCAGCCAGGGTACAGCTGCTGTCCCAGAGAGATAGAGCACACTTTAGAGTTAAAAGGGAGCCAGGCAACAAGGGCTGGGGAGTAGAAAGGCCCATTCCAGGACAATCCTTCTAGGACACAACAGGGACCACAATCAGGCCAATAGGCATTCTGCAATGCATGCCTTGCCAGAGAAATTAAAGAGGATTCTTGCTTCCTGCCAAGGTATAAACAACAACAGAGTTCCCAGGGAATCTGTCCTCAGCTGCCCTTCTCTGGAGCATCTCTCATTCTGGGCTTCTCTGGGGGCTCCAGTGAAAAGCAATCAGCAGCCTGGTTCGCCAGAGGACCAGGAGGACTCAGGCTCTGCTCCAGATTGCCATACAGGAAACTTGTGGAGTCTTACAGCACAAGGAAAAGGGAAAAGAAGAGAAGAAAACTCTGCTGACTTCAGGAACATTTGACACCAAGGACTCGTCACAGCCACAGTGAGAGATTGCATCCCTTCCCCGAGTGATGGATACATTTACTGAGAATGTACTCACTAAATTCTCTATATACATATAAAGCTCAGTGAATCTGTTCATAAGCCTCAGAAAGTAGATCATTTCAACCACGGGTCCTGATGCATCAACTCAGCCACAGTACTCACAGTACTTGGTCAAATGCCTTTGAGATATAGGTATTATCTTAGGGTTTGTATCCCTGCACAAAGCATCCTGACCAAGAAGAGAGTTGGGGAAGAAAGGGTTTACTCAGCTTACACTTCCACATTGCTGTTCATCACCAAAGGAAGTTAAGACGGGAACTCACACAGGGCAGGAACTTGGGATGGAGGAGCTGATGCAGAAGCCATGGAGGGGTGCTGCTTGCTGGCTTGCTTCCCCTGGCTTGTTCAGCTTGCTTTCTTATAGAACCCAGGACCACCAGGCCAGGGGATAGCACCACCCTTGATCACTAATTGAGAAAATACCTTACAGCTGTATCTCATGGAGGCGTTTCCTCAAAGGAGGCTCCTTTCTCTGTGATAACTCTAGCTTGTGTCAAGCTGACACACAAAACCAGCCAGTACAGGTATGGAGTTAATCTGGGGGTAAAGGTTAACACTCAGACTACTGACATTGATAGCCTGTGTAAACTAGATTACCCTGTATGTGAGTCTCTTTCAGCCAACTGAAATCCTCTAGGAAAAAGAACCAAATTTCTCTCAGAACCCTTGGACCTGGGAGGACATGGGAACTCTGCTCTGGGTCTTCAGACTTGGGCTGCTACTCAGCCCTGTGTTCAGTGTTCAGCCTGTCCGTCTACCCTGCAGATGTCAGGATTTCCACCCTGGAGCCAGTTCCTCAAGAGAAAAGCCCCTCTCCTCATGGAGAATCCTGACTAACACTCTTCCTGCGGTTTGAACGTGTCCCCAGAAGCTCATCTGTGGGGAACATAACTCATGTACTGGTGGTATTTGAAGGTGGGGTTTTCGGGGGCATTGTTAAGACTAAATTCAGGAGATTATGAGGGTGAGAGTCCCATGATTGAGTGACTTGAAGAGGCAGAAGACAGGCTTCCTCGTAACCATGTGTGTCAGCTTTTTCATTGCTCTGAGAAAATATCTAAGATGACCATCTTATGTGTGGGGGTTGAGAGCAAGGGAGAGTCTATCTCGGCTCCCAGTTGCAACTGTGTCAGTCTATGGTCACAGGATGCTGACACTTTGGGACTGCAGCAGTACATTCCACCACAGTCACAATGCATGGCACAGGAGATTCTCAAGGCAGCCAGGAAATTGAAAGAGTAACAGGAAGGAGACTGGGGTCCTTTGACCTTGGAGACCTCTTCGGTGACCTCCTTTCTTACACTAGGCTCCACCTCCAACAGGTTCTGTAACCTCTAAGTTCAGATATGGGCTCCCACCCAAGCCTATAGATCACAGACTTTGGGGGACACTTCTAAACCACAGTACATGTGAATAACGGAGCTGGAAAGTTCTCAGCAGATACAAGGATCTGTAAGATCTCCCAGCCTCCTGAGCTATAGAAAGTATTATTTTCTTCTCTATAAATGACTCTGTCTCAGGCATTCTGTTATAGCAAGTCCAAGGGGTGAAGACCACACTCATACACCCATTTTGCAGATGAAGAAACCAAGGCACAAGCAGTTTGAAGTCCTGACCCATATATTGAAGCTAGTTGTGTCTTAGTCAAGGCAAGAATGTGTGCAGCCTGGAACCAGATTGGGCCTCTCGCTTAGACATACTGAAGTCATGACTTATCTCACAGGAAGTCAAAGCTGCCAGTTCAGCAGCAAATCACAGGAGAAGAGAGGTGAGAATTAGAAGTATCTGTAGACATTTCAGACCAGTGATGTGTGTCATCCAGCTAGGCTTCACTTTGATGTGTGACTTTAAGTGTGTGATTTAAATCTCGCTGGGGCCTCCATGAGAACGTCACAGGCTGCTGATGGATTAAACGGGATAGTTTCATGAGCAAGTAATCTTTCCCAGGACAGGAATGCAAAGTCATACGGATCGTGGGATTAGACAACAGCTCCGGATTCTAATAGACTGAAGTCTGCACTCACCTGACCTACCAGAATTAGTCTATAAATAGCCCCCTCTCAAATCAATTCCGATTAAAAACCTCTTATCTGTGTATCATGCCGGTACCTATGGTTTGATCCCACCTGCCTGTGTTCACAGCCAGACAGTCTGGCTGTCTCCGTGATGGAGTTGATTCCCACCCGGAGCCAAGCAGCACCTCCAATAGGGGGAGGTTGAGTTCCCAAATGGGACCCACCTCAGTGACAGCATCAAAAGATCATGACGAAGTGCTCTATTCCCAGCTGGTGGCACTACTGAGAGAGCATGGTATAATGGTCATGCTAATCTAATCGATAGATTAGTCCACGGATCAATTCGTAGCAGAATGAGCCAGTAGGGGATAGGCTCTGGTTGGAGAAGGTGGGTCATGGACGTCATGCTTTCAAGGATGCGTCTTGCCACCCAACCTCCCCTGTGCCTGCTTCCTGGAGGCCACCATGTGAGTAGCTTTGCTCTCCTGTATAGTCACACCCTCTGCCGTGATGCTTGGTCTCGTCTCAAACCCAAGCAACCATGGCCTGAAAGCATAAGCTAAATACATCTTTCCTTCTTCAACTGGGTGATGTCGGGCATTGACCACACCAGTGAAGAGCAATTAACAGGCCCAGTACGTTCTTCAGAATGAACTCC